CCATCACCGGTGAGGTCTGGCCGTCTGTGCACGTGTCGTTTTTTCTCTGCTGTTGAACTAAAAAACTATGTCTAATTAACAGGAAGCCCCGTATGTGATGTACAAGAAAAACTATATGCAGATGGAGGGGAATGACAGATATGAAGGCTACTGTGTCGATTTAGCTGCTGAAATTGCAAAGCATGTGGGGATAAGATTTAAGCTGTCAGTAGTGCCCGATGGGAAATACGGAGCCCGAGATCCAGAGACCAAGACGTGGAACGGGATGGTGGGTGAACTGGTTTATGGGGTAAGTGTTATCCGGCCTGTGTTGCCCTTTTGCTGTTCGATTTTCCATATTTTAGATTTACAGATACAAAGACAAACTCGATAAAACTCATATTGGATCAAAAATCCCTTATGCCCTTTTGCTGTTCGATCTTCTATATTTTAGATTTACAGATACAAAGACAAACTCGAAAAAACTCATATTGGATGAAAATAAAATAACATATAAATATATATATATATGAAATAAACTTATAAAGCTATTAGTATTTTCACCGTATGACATAGTTAATGTAAATTGGTTTCCCCTTTTCTCGTTCATCCTGTTTGCTTTGGAGAACCGAAGTTTAGAAAAGTGAGAACATATAAATTGTTGTTTTTTTTTGTCCTCGAGTATCATTTGGGATCCCTTCTTGGACTGTGACTCCACTTTGGTGCTTTTTTGTCAAGCGTTCTGTGGATAACTCGTACTTGAACTGGCCCTAATAAGACGATATGCATCTTTTATGAGACTTCGGCCTCTGAATGAGTAACGTTTGAAACCTCCCTCCGCTAGACTAGAAGGCCCAAAGATCTGCATGCAAACAGTGAGTCACTGCGGCTTCCTCAGTCTCCGGTTTCTGCAGTTGTGGCTGCAACCGTTTCCCAGAAGCCACCCGGAGATCCCTATTTGTAGTAAATAAAATAGCCGTGTAAATCGACACAGAATTTGTGTTGGTGCTCAAATGGAAACGAGGGAGACTGAGAGCTCGCTAACGAAATGGAGGCAGACATTTGTCAGTGAGGTCTCTTATCCTAATTGCCAGCCTGTAAGGCATTGCAGAGGATCCTGTGGAGGTGAATCTAAAAGGCTGATTCACGTTTCATGAACTGCTTGCATAAGCTCCTCCACCTCTGTCTTCCACCCTTCCGCTTGATTCACGAGGGAGATCCGGATGGAGACAAAGACATTAACCGTCGCAAATGCTGAGTGACTCATTTTTTAAATGGCAGATTTGCTCTCATGGGCTTTGTCAGGGCACAGTTTACTCTACAATAATCCATTGTCGACATGTTTCTTGATTTATTTTTTGTCATGAGGTGGGATCTTGGAGGGAGGACAGAAAACAGGGTTTATTGTAACAAAAACTCACTCATGGAGTGGATGGTGACAAAGTTCAAAACAAGGCTGTGAGAAAAACTATGATCAAAGTAGCAAAGCAAGATAAACATGGCTGTGGCAAAAGTATCAAAACAAGACTATGGCAAAACAAGGTTAACAAGACTGTGGCAAAACAAGGCTATGATAAAAACATGGCTATGGTACAGAGTAAATAAGACTATGGCGTGGAGAAAAAGCAAAACTTTACGTGACATGGGGAGACGAAAGACGAAAACGAACTGGCACAGGACATGGGAAACGAGGACTATTTAAACACATGAGGGAGGGGAACCCCAGGTGAACACAATAGGAAATCAACACATGACGAGACACCAGACATTCCCCCAGACGTGACATTTTTATCTATGAATGTCGTATAAAACGGAGCTTTTTAACTCATTGACTTCCAGCCATTTTCAGAACAGAGAGTCCCATACTGGGTTTTTTGAGCATTTTGACTGATTTTTCAAGAACCACAGAATAGTTTGTGCTATGACTATGTAAACACCGAACACACCAAAAGAAAGAGTAGACTCTCTTCTTTCATCAGGAAAAAAAAATTGTTTCTACCTTATTCCGTTCTTCCTCGACTTGCGTCTCACCGGCGACATGTTCTCTCATAGCGAACCGTTACCTTTTTCTTATTTGCCTACAGTCTATGCTCATCTCCCATCAAAAGTGGCACTGCCACCTAGAGGGTCAATTTGTTACTACATACTCTGTCTAGAAGCCGATATTTACGGACTAGCTTTAGCAGATCGTCCCCCAGCCACTCTCGTTGAAAAACATAAAAGACGTCTATAGACGTCTTTAGCAGCCAATGAGTTAAAAAATCTAAACAAACATTTTTTAACCGATTCATATTTACTGTTCTTTCATAGGTATTTCTGGTTCTGGGAGACTAACCCCCCCCCCGTGTGCCTGTTCCCGTTTTCACAGAGAGCTGACATAGCCGTGGCTCCGCTAACCATAACTCTGGTGCGCGAGGAGGTGATAGACTTTTCTAAACCCTTCATGAGCTTGGGCATCTCCATTATGATAAAGAAGCCCCAAAAGTCCAAGCCGGGGGTGTTCTCCTTCCTGGACCCGCTGGCCTATGAGATCTGGATGTGCATAGTGTTCGCCTACATCGGCGTGAGCGTGGTGCTCTTCCTGGTGAGCCGTTTCAGTCCTTATGAGTGGCATCTGGACGAGAACGACGAGGCCAAAGACCCCCAGAGCCCCCCCGACCCTCCCAACGACTTTGGCATTTTTAATAGCCTGTGGTTCTCCCTGGGCGCCTTCATGCAGCAAGGGTGCGATATCTCACCAAGGTTGGTTGTCGTTTTTTTCCCCCCCTCTCCGCCTCCTCTCAGACGTGCTTGTCATCACTCTGCATTTTATAGTCCCACACATTCATTTCCATCCTGCAATGGTGCATATGGGTTATTTTGAGCCTCCATATACATACAGTGGGGGGAAATAAGTATTTGACCCCCTTGCTGATTTTGCAGGTTTTGCCCACTTACAAAGAATGCAACGATCTATAACTTTAATCATATGTACATTCTAACAGTGAGAGACAGAATCCCAAAGAAAATTCCAGAAAATCACATCATGTGATTTTATAAAAATTGATAACCATCTGATGAGGAAAAATAAGCTTTCTTTGTAAGTGGGCAAACCTGCAAAATCAGCAAGGGGTCAAATACTTATTTCTCCCACTGTAACCTCATGCTCCACCTCAGTTCATTCTCATCCCATTTTGCTCTGTGGAGTAAAGAGCCCTCCTCTTCTTCTTCTACTTCTTTTTCTTTTTGTTCTTCTTATTCTTCTTCTGTGTTTCGGTTTCTGTTGAAGCTGCATGCTGGCAGGGATGCCGTGCATCCGCAAAATAACTTATATCCACCATGCTGAGGGCTGTAAAATGCATGGGAGTCCTTACGTTTCATCCAAAGTAATGGCTGGAATTACTGGGGACTCTTGGAGGGCTACCGTGTTTTTGCTGCATGTTCCATTTTACGGTCATCAACCTGGCGCATGTAATTTGTTTTGTGCGCACGAACCACCATAAATAACCACGTAGGGACTCTTCCATCCATCCGCCCGTCCATCCATCCATTGCTTTGCTCATTTCTGACCTCTTCTCCATGGATTCTGACTTCCAGCATCCACTGTTCTCGGCTGGTTCAAGTTTCTTGAAATTCCAAAGATGTTTATGTTTATTAACCGAAGCTTTTTTCCATTCTTCCTCAACAATTCCCCTCATTATATCCTGAAGAAGCAAAACCTTTCTTGAGTTCTAGTGCTTTCATTGTTAGATTTAAGTATTTTTGTTGATTAAAACTTTTTTGTCTGTGTAATATTTGACATTAAATGAAACTGCATTCATGGAATTATCACAATTATTACCTTTTTACAGGTAAGTGTGATAGTATCTGGCTCTAAATCGTGCCCCTTTAAGATGACACACAGCAGGTTTATGCCCCTGTTTTGGAGGAAAAGCAACAAACAGACTAAATCATGCAGTGAATATAGAAATATTTTCCGAGCACAGCACATTAAAGTTGGTATGATCATAAAACACTGGAGAAAACGGTTCAAATTTAAAATGCAGAGCTTTTATGGCAAAATAAAAGCCATGAGCCACTATTTAAGCACTAGTAAGCAGGATGAGAATGGATGATTCTCTCCATGGACCTGTTTTCTATTATTTTCTCCATAAATCTTAACAGATAGAGATCTGTAGTGTGTGCTGATCTCACTCTTTGCTCTGTTACGAGATTTTCATCCTGAAAAACGATGGGATTCAACTGTGAGTTTTCTGTCCAGATGCGTTCACGGCTTGCTTGGTCATTTTGCATTTTTCACATATTATTTATTCTTCACAGCTCATTCAGAATAGCCAACGTCCTTTGGAACGCTACCAAATTAATTAACATCATTAAAAAGTTTCATAATTCTCCCTTCATTCTCCCTTTGCTCATTCCAGATTGTGCAATTATTTAATTTTAGAAAATAATGATTTTAGATAGTTTTCTGCATTCTGCTTTATAAGGAAGAACGATTAATTGAAAGGTCTGTTTAAAAAAGCCAGATTTCTCAGCTGTTTTTGTGTCATAAATTAATCATTTATTTAACCCTTTAAAGCCTGATCCAAGAATAAAACAAAACAGAAAATGACTTTTTTTTTGTTTTTAAGTCTTTATTTGGCCTTATGTAAATATGTAAAAAGAAAAAACGGAAATACATTTTTTATATTAATCATTTATTACTATGCGATAAGTCAAGATTATTTTCTGGGTAGTCTTCTGCCCCCTGTTATCAGGTGTATCTGATTGTGTGCAATAGGATTTTGAGCAAAGTTTTTACCATTAAATTAAGCAAAAGGTGTCAGACGCAAAACATTTCAGAAACCTTATGTGTCAAATATGATACATTTGGCATTATAGGGTTAATTTTAGGAGTTTAAATATCCTGTAAGAGAGGTGAATCCCTATATCTTTCCTGGACTTTTAGAGTGGGACTCAGACATTGGGGGTCCAGTATGAGTCTGCGGGAAACTGGATTTAAGTTGAACTGAACCCGAATTACCTCCAAATCTAAATTAGGACACGGTTATATTCGGTTAATGAGACTTATTATTGCTCTCAGCTAGTGACTCGCCAGCATAGGCGGCCATATTAAGTTAATGACACTCCTGTTTAATGAATGTGTTCGCACGCATCATCAGAGACCGACGGAGGGTTTTACAGTTATTAAACGAGCCATCATAAAAGGCGTCTTGCAAAATATATTCTTTAACGTTTGAGTATATGACACAACACTGGCTCATAGTGGGATTGAGTAAATGTGGGATGAAATAGAAAATTTTTGTAATAACTGCTACAATAAGCAAACTTATCTGAGAGCAAAAATTTCAAAAAGTAAATTAAACGAGCGATCATTTGAAAAGCAAAGAATTTAAGAGTCAGATCTGATGTTAGGCCAAAAACCCGAGCAGACCGAGTGGAAAACGTATGTAGATCTGAGCCCCCTGCTCTCCTGTCTCTGTCTGCTCTTCTCCCCCCCCCTCTCCCAGGTCTCTGTCCGGGCGCATCGTGGGGGGCGTGTGGTGGTTCTTCACCCTCATCATCATCTCCTCCTACACGGCCAACCTGGCCGCCTTCCTCACGGTGGAGAGGATGGTTTCTCCCATCGAGAGCGCCGAGGACCTGGCCAAGCAGACGGAGATCGCCTACGGCACCTTAGACTCAGGCTCCACCAAGGAGTTCTTCAGGGTGAGTGTCCCATAACTGGCCGGTCCCTGAACCCTTCAGGGGGGCCACCTCTAACTCTACAGGACTGTCTCAGAAAATTAGAATATTGTGATAAAGTTCTTTATTTTCTGTAATGCAATTAAAAAACATGAAATGTCATACATTGTGGATTCGTTACAAATCAACTGAAATATCGCAAGCCTTTTGTCGTTTTAATATCGCTGATTATGGCGTACAGCTTAAGAAACCCAAATGTCCTATCTCAAAATATTAGAATATTTCCTCAGACCAAGTAAAAAAAAAAAAATTATAACAGCAAAACAAAATCAAACAGTTGGGAATCCTTTTGCACAGATTACTGCATCAATTTGCAATTTACAGAAAATAAAGAACTTTATCACAATATTCTAATTTTCTGAGACAGTCCAGTATTTTGGCCAAAAAGCACACAATCTTTGGAGCTTTCTTTGGGTCTTGATGTATTACCTGCCAGGTAAGGTATAGTTTGTTTTAACTTCTCTTGTTTCTTATGCATCTGTGTGTCGTTACTAACTCCCTCCCCCTTAATGCTAACACCTTTTAAAAGCCTAACCAGGGATGGATTCTGCAAATTAGCCCACAGCTACAAGCCTTATGCACTTGCACATCGGCCACCTGTTTCGTTGCAATGTTTAATTGTAATGTCCCTGTCAAACAAACAAATAAATAAATAAAATAGATAATAAATTGAAATAATAATCAATAAAAAAAACCTAGCCTAAAACTCCATTTTTTTTCCATGATGCAGCACTTCCAAAGTACTGAGCCAAACAAAGTTGTCAACAGCTATATTTGATTAATTCGGTTAATCATAAAATAAGGTGTTCTGTGTTTAAAAAAGCACACCTTTTTTAAACACAGGGATTGTAATTAAGGAGAAAATTGCATGCATTTGTCTTGTTCTGTGTTTCGGAAGATGCCCCTTTGGGATAGATAGTTAAGAAGAGCTCGAATTTTAGGAGAGCTAAACAGTTCCCCGATGATAAACAGAGAAATAATGAATTTTTAATTAATTTGATTCTTTTATGTGTGGGAGGGAGTGTGTTATATCTGCCTCCTCTACAAATCCAGTTGGTTCGTAAAATTAAATTCGGTTTTCGACAACCAAAAAATACTTCTTAACAAACTGAATAATTCACCTCTGAATCTGGGCCAATTGTTCTCGCTCCTTAGACCATAAACGGGTTTAATGAATAACCTCAGAGCAACCGATTATATGAGGGTCCATTTCTATCTCAGTTATGCAGGAGTCCTGCCAAAGCAACAAAAAAATGCAATTATCCTCATCACTGTCACAAAAGACACGAACTTGAGAGAAATTAAATCAGATATAGTTCTAATTGTCGGGACCAAAAAACAACATTTGTTACCGAATCACCTTTTTCTTATCAAGTCTTTAAAGCAACCTCTGATTAATAACTGATTCATAACAGTATAACGTGAAAAACTAAGTACATTCCCTTATTCATTAACATATTGTATTACCTTTAGCCTAAAAAATAAATGATCAGACATTTTCCCTCTAACCTATAATTGGACTGTCACAAACTAGATTTGTTTTTTTAACTTTTTTTATTTCTCTATGAATTGCTTTGTCTGACTTTTGGAGGAACCTGTTGTAAAATGATGATCTATAGTTTAAAAAATAGGAATATTGATTCTTTCTTAAAGGTCTACTGCTGATATTTTTTTAAAACCAAAGTAATTAAAGCAATAAGATAAGATTTTTTAAATATTTCTGCAGTTTGACATAGATGTTGTTAAACAAAACACATGATTTCATGTCTCTTTTGTCCATTTGAGGTTATTTTGGGGTAAAAAAACAGCCTATTTTTATGCGATTAGTAAAAAAATTTGAAGACCTATACATTCGATTTCCAATCTGCAGGCCTGCAAATATGCAGTCTCATATTTGATGCTCAGTTCCTCAGAAAACAGCACTGACATTCACATCCAGAGTCCAGCTTTGAGCTCTTTTCTATTTTTAGATGTGATTGCTGCGAGTGAGCCTGAGACATTTGATAAATACAAAACCCCCGTTCTCCTTCAGACACAGGAGCCATCCGGAGGGCATTTTTGCTTTGCTTTCAGACTCTCGGTCCACAGAGAGCTATAAAAATCCCATTTTACAGTCTCCTCTGAGACTTAGAAAGAAAAAAAAAAAGGAGAAAATACAGCAGGTCTGTTTGGTTTTGATTATCTGCTGCTGGCAGTTGAGAAACAGTGATGATGAACAACTGAGTTCAAGCATAGAAGCATTAAACCGGAATTTTTCCGGTGAAAAATGATCAGCGGCCTCGCTCGGAGAGAAAATAATTTAGCAGGATGTGACCAAGTGTTGTATTTCTATGACTCAGCCCATTTACAAAAGGCATTCGAGTGGAAGGGATGCAGTGTCAAATTGATCAGAGGTCTGAAAGCGTTCGGATAAAGATTTTTTTTCTGATCGGGGTGGAGAAGGACGTCTGAGAAAAGTGCTTTGAAACGTTTCTAGAATCTGGTTGGCAGATGAACAATGCCGTTCCAAAGTACGTGTTTATGAGATTAGGAAGTGTTCAGATTTAACTCACAGGGCTGACAGTAATTCTGGGCAGACTTTGAGTGCTTTGATGACTAATAATTCAAACGAGACTGGTAGGAGAAAAAAGGGAACAGACGGCTGATGTGATATTAATCGAGATGTTACCGGGTTTTATTTTTTACTTGAATTAAAGTTAGAGAATGGTCTGTCATCCAACCAAAGTGACAATGAAAACAGCCATTATTTTTTAAGAAGAAAACCCATTTGTTTTACTAATTCATCACAACAGAGATGGGAAAGGCCAAAAATATCATCATATCATCATCAACATCCAATGTTTCAGACTGCTTTTTTGTTGGGTTTTTCTTTTCCCACAAAATGCAGTTAATTAAAAAATTAATCTTGGTGAATCATCACATGAAAAGTGCTCAATAAGGAGCTGTTGAACTCTGTAAATGCTCTCATCAAAGGTTAATCAAAGAAGCCGTGAAGGTAATTAGCTGACAGATATTAGGCCTTTCTGTCCCCACACCTGAAAGAAGAAGAAGCATTTAAAGATTTAAAGCTTTAAAGGGTTTATAACAATTGTAAAGTTAAACTCTCGCGCTTTTTTTAAAGATCCATTAAACCAGTAGTACATATAAAGATACATATACTTATCATTTTAGTCTCCGTAGCTAACAGTGGTTACAACTCACGCTCTTCAAGTCGTGTTCTTTACACTATTCTCAGGATAAACACAGATTTTGGCAAAACATCTTTTTTCTAGGCAGCACCATGGTCGTGGCACAATATTCAAAAGTCCCGCCAATTACGGACTCTTATTCCGCTACGGCATTTTAAATCACTATTGAAAACCGCTTGCACAGAGCATTGTAACTGTTACTCTAGAGTATAGTTTATGATTGATTTTATTATGTTGTCCTGTGTTCTTATATGTGTGATATTTTATCTCAAGGGACTTCCTGGTAAAATAAAGGTAAAATAAAATAAATCGATATAACTAAGTGTACAGATACACCAAAATGTATCAAAATGAACAGAAAAAATCAATATAATCAGCAGTATGACAGTCTTTGAAAAGCATTTTTAAAATGAAGCCAGTGACTGACTTTACATAAAAAGCAAACAGGGTTTGTAATGCGTTAAAAGGAAGTGGATAAGTGAGCAGAGGACAGAGAAACTGGCCGCCTGCCCCACAGACGGCGGCTGACCTCGGGGCGCTAACCTCTTTAATTAGCACACCTTTAATGCTCAATCCATCTGCCATGACACCACTTCCAATAGTTTACTGGATCTAAAGGATAGTTTTGAAATACACCTATTGGCTCTCATGTGATAGAGTGGAGAATAGTCTCTGATTCTTTTTAATTTAGAATCAAGATGTTCCAAGCCAGGCAGTTAGCTTTTATTAACATTAAAAAGAAGACTAGGACAACACATCCAGATTTGTTTATGTCATCCTTCATGGCTGTTTGTGTTAAATATCATCTAAGAAGTGTTTAATCAACTAAATTATGAAATTAAGTCAACTTTTTGTTAAATCAGAATGTCATTCTATCACATTTTATTTTCAATCAGATTACACTTTTTTGCAGCTTTTGTGTTTCCATCAGTTCCTCATTTATGCATCTTAAACAATGGCTAAAAAAAAGGCTTACACACCATCAAAAATTAGGTTTAAAGACAGACCTATGTGCACACTCACAACCAGATCTCACACTCAGGACACTAGATCTATTAGATCTATTATATCTATTAGATCTATTAAATCTATTAGATCTATCTCCCCCCGGTCATCAGACATACTGGTGGAAACAGTCCATTTCCACAATGGCTGACTTAATGGGGGACATTTTTTGATTGGATGGTCTCGTTTGGCCGGTCTAGTGAAGTCAGTACAGACATACAGATTTATTTCTCTATGTATCCCTTTGTCTGACTTTTGGAGGAACCTATTGTAGAATGATGATCTATAGTTTTAAAAATAGGACAGTATTGATCCTTTCTTAAAGGTTCTTATGTCTACGGCTGATCATTTTTTCAAATGAAAACTAAATAAAATTATAAATAAAAAAATAAAAAAATAAAAAAATAAATAAATGAATAAATAAATTCATTAATTAATAATAAATAAATAAATGCATAAATTAATTAATTAATAAAACTAAATTCAAATGTTAAATTAAAGTAATTAAAGCAATAAGATTGTACTTTGTTTTTTAAATATTTCTGCAGTTTGACATAGATGTTGTTAAACAAAACACATGATTTCATGTCTCTTTTGTCCATTTGAGCTTGTTTTTAGGTAAAAAAAACCAGCCTATTTCTATGCGATTAGTAAAAAAGTTTGAAGACCTATAAATTAGATTTCCAGTCTGCAGGCCTGCAAAACTGCAGCCTCACATTTGATGCTCAGTTCCTCAGAAATAACAAAGACATTCACATCCAGTCTCCAGCTTTGAGCTCCTTCTATTTCCACATTTCACACCAAATGGGGGACCGTTTGTTGGGCTTCATCTCAGCCTGACGGCATCTCCATTTTAACCCGGAAAAGAAAACTAACGTCTGTTTTCCCACCGTGTCCGGCTCCTGTCGCCGTTGGTTACCGTCACGTGAGGCGTGTCTGCCTGAGCACTCCGGTGGACTGAAATCACGCATATGTCGAGAGTGATTCACTCACTAGCCCGAGCCCACAATCCATTACATCACCGCTGAATTATTTATGACGCCGGCCTCAATCTGGGGGCTGACACAGTTTGTAAGCTTACTCAGATGTTTTCGTTTACTTTTCCCCGTACTAGAGATGATTTAGGACGGACCCACGCAGCCACTCAGAGGATAATCTGAATACATAAAGGATGTCATTTTATACACATTAAACACTTTAAATAAGCAGTTAACCCTTTAAAGCCTGATCCAAGAAGAAAACAAAACAGAAAATTACTTTTTTTTGGTTTGAATTCCTTATTTGGCCTTTTAACAAAATATGTAAATAGAAAAAACAGAAATACATTTTTAATATTAATAATTTATTACTATGCGATATATCCAGATTATTTTTTGTGTAGTGTTCTGCCCCCTGTTATCAGGTGTATCTGGTTGTGTACAATAGGATTTTGAGCAAAGTTTTTACCATTAAATTATGCAAAAGGTGTCAGACACAAAACATTTCAGAAACCGTATGTATCAGATATGATACATTTGGCATTATAGGGTTAAACATGGAATTTACAACAGCGAAAAATAAAAAAATGAAAAAAATAATGCAGATTTCAAAAAGCTTAGATAAGATCCAAGCACAGAGGGTCACATTAGCCCAGTTTCCTGCAGCCTTTCTATTTCCTCGTCTATTGTAGACATCTGCGTGTTGATCTCCCCGGTGACCAGTGATCAGCCTCTCGTCGGCCATTTTTAGCCATTTTTAGCCATTTTTAGCCGTCTGTAGCAGCTCCAGCTGGCAGAGGTGGAGCCCCCCCCCCCCCAACGTAAGGAGGGCAAATGGGCTAAAGAAGAGCCCTTCAGAGGCTCACACTGCTTCACGTTTACCAAATGATACCAATCAATGTGTTTTTGAAAAAAAAGTACTGAGTAAAAGAAATGTGTATCTACAGAAAAACACAGAAAAACCAAACTAAAGAGGAAAGCTTTATACTGTAATGTTCATTTAGACCCAAGATATTCAAATCCAGGAAAGAGAAAAAAATTGATTTACACCATATTTTCAGATGTTTAAACAACAAATGAGAACAATCAATGTGTTTTTTTTAAATAAAGTACTTTCTATTTATATTTGTATATATATTTATATTTTTAAAAAAAGCTATCTTGGGTTCATTTAGACCCAAGATATTAACATAGAGAGAAGATAGAGAGAAACAACTTGATTGCGACATATTTTGAGATGTTTAAACAATGTGTTTTTTACTTTTTGGGGAAAAGAAATGTGTATCTACAGAACACAGATAAACACAGATAAACAAAACTATAAAGGAAAGCTTTATAATTTCCGTTTAGACCCAAGATATTAAAAACCAAGGAAGAGAATAAACATCTCACATTACACCATAATGTGAGATGTTTGATCCCAAACCGGTGGTGCATTTGTCTGTCTGTTGTCCTACTGAGTGAAGACTCTTCTGGGAACAGCTCTCTAAAATAAACCCTGACCTGTGATGAGTCTCCAGCTGTGAGCTGCTGGAACTTAAACCGGTGGCTTCTGCCCGTTAATATCGACAACAAACAAACGCTTTACCTCCACGGAAACGCCAGATTGTCAGACGCCAGGTTTCTGGCCAGACGCCCGTTTGGGTTTATTTATTTATATTTTATTTATTTATTTATTTATTTATTTATTTATTTATTTATTTATTTGTTTGTTTGTTTATTTATTTATTTATTTATTTATTTATTTATTTATTTATTTATTTATTTGTTTATTTATTTATTTATTTATTTATTTATTTATTTGTTTATTTATTTATTTTTCCTTGTCGTGTTTGGCATTATGGCAACAGAATTGTAATCTGAGTTTTGACACTTTTGCTTTGCTAAAGGAGGCCTGTCAGGGTGAGAAGCCTCCCCTGATCATCCAAAACTGCTTTATTATTTATTTAGGATTTATTTTTGTGACATTAGTAATATGGCTAATGCCGTTTGGGGTTCCCCGGTTCCCTAGCTGCCAGGTGGGAGTTTTTTTTTGGAAAAGCACCAACTTCTGTCACGCTGTCGGTTAGTTTATTTGTTTTCCTGTTTCTCAGTTTTTAGCCTATATCCACAAAAAATAAGGTCTAAAAATGTTCGTCTCCTTCAGCTTTATGCAGATATGATATGTTACGTTTGGTGTTCAAATCTTTTCAACTTTTTAAGTTATTTCACTTTTTCTGCTTTTATTTGGAGCCTTTCCGACTGGGGTGTAACTCAGTGGTAGAGGGTTTCACTCTAGTTTGAGAGGTTGCTGGTTCAAATACCATTAAAGGCTTTAGTTCTTTTAATTTTTTTTGCTTTAGTTGTTTTACTCTTCAGTTCTATGTCTTCTTCAGCTTTTCTTTGGTTTCTTCTGGTTCCTCCCTTCAGCATATCTTCTTCTAATCCTCTTGTCATTCTTCTTCTACTCTTTAGTTGTATGTCTTTTTTAGCTTTTCTTTGGCTTCCTCCATTCAGTATTTGGCATTCTCACAACTGTTCCACAGGAAAACAGCCTATTCTAGCGGCTTTTTACTCTTAACTCTTCTTCTAATCATTTTCCATTCTTCTTCTACTCTTTAGTTCTTTGTCTTTTTCAGCTTTTCTTTGGTTTATTCTCGTTCCTCCTTTCAGCATTTCTTATTCTATCGTTTTGTCTTTCTTCTTATACTCTTCAGTTTTATGTCTTTTATAGCCTATTCTAGAGGCTTTTTACCCTTTACTCTTCTTCTAATAATTTGTCCTTTCTTCTTCCACTCTTTAGTTCTTGTAATCCTTTTGCCTTTGTTCTTCCACTCTTCAGTTCCATGTCTTCTTCAGCTTTTCTTTGGTTTCTTCCCGTTCCTCCCTTCAGCATTTCTTCTTCTAATCCTTTGTCTTTCTTCTTCCACTCTTCAGTTCTTTGTCTTTTTCAGCTTTTCTTTGGCTTCTTCTCCTTCTTCCTCCATTCAGTATTTGGCATTCTCACAGCTGTTCCACAGGAAAACAGCCTATTCTACTGGCTTTTTACTCTTCTTCTCATCCTTTTTCCATTTTTCTTCCACTCTTCAGTTCCATGTCTTCTTCAGCTTTTCTTTGGTTTCTTCCCGTTCCTCCCTTCAGCATTTCTTCTTCTAATCCTTTGTCTTTCTTCTTCTACTCTTTAGTTCTTTGTCTTTTCCAGCTTTTCTTGTGTTTCTTCTCCTTCTTCCTCCATTCAGCACTCTGCATTCTCACATTTGTTCCACAGCAACTTTTTCTAGTTTTTTTCTAGTTTTTTTCTATTTGTTTTCTATTTGTTTTCTATTTTTTGTTCTTTTTTTTTTCTAGTTTCCTTTTAGCATCCCGTTCTCTCCCTTTGAGCTGATATTTCCCCTCAGTGATACAGTACGGGTGCGTTTCCGAGGCCTCTCACCTTTTCTTTCCTTGTGACTAAACCATTTGTCTTTCTCTCTCCTTTTCCCCGCAGCGCTCCAAAATAGCCGTCTACGAGAAAATGTGGTCGTACATGAAATCGGCCGAGCCCTCGGTGTTCGCCAAGACCACCCCGGAGGGGGTGTCCCGGGTTCGGAAGTCGAAGGGAAAGTTCGCCTTCCTGCTGGAGTCCACCATGAACGAGTACATAGAGCAGCGCAAGCCCTGCGACACCATGAAAGTGGGCGGCAACCTGGACTCTAAGGGCTACGGCGTGGCCACCCCCAAAGGCTCAGCATTAAGGTGGGTGGGATAATATAACAATGTCCGCCATGTTGTTATAATATTCCACCTACCCTGATGCTTCCTTTTTTTTTATGTCATTCTCTTCTTCTTCACGCCTGATTTTTTTTAATCTTCGTTTTAACGGTCTTATGAGTTGTTTGAATTGAACCGGTGCATCTTTTTTTTCCTTTTTTTTTTCCTTTTTTGTCCTTAATTTCTGGTTTGTTTGTGTTCTTTTTCTGTTTTTTTTTCTTTTCCCCCACGTTCGTTTTCACCCATCCGAATGTCAGTGTGCTCCACCTTGTTTTATTTTCTCTGTTTTCCCTCCTTTCTTTGTCTCCGGTGCCCTTTTTTTTTTTTTGCATCACCTGTAATTCCGCTCTGAAATAGTCTTAATCCATTTGCTAGTTTAAAAACGCCGGTCTGTCACTTGTGCTGAATGTTAAACTGCATGCTGGATGTTATTTCAAATTTCAACACTATATATGAGCTTGTCCCCATCCCGCACACTTCAGTTACAGGCGATGTAATTCCTTCATGCCACCTCTCTAATATTTAACCTTTTCTTTGCTGTAAAAAAAATGCTTCTTACCCCTCCCGCTCCAGTGAAATTCTCTTACCGATTTGTCCCTCCCGTGCTCCCCTTTATGAACCATTGATACTGATCCACTATTTCTGACTAATATTCTACGTATTAGATTTCTCACGGACCTGTTCATTTTTTTCTTACAAGCTATGTTTTATCGTTTCAAGAAATGCTGTTAACCTGGCAGTGTTAAAACTGAATGAGCAAGGCCTCTTGGACAAATTGAAAAACAAATGGTGGTACGACAAGGGAGAGTGCGGCAGCGGGGGAGGTGACTCTAAGGTCAGCCTCGATGTCACCTAAGTCGGGTATCTTAGCAACAGAGTAATCGGCAAGGCTGTCCTCACTGAATAGAGCTAAAAAAAAACTAAAAAAAAGCTAAAAAAAACAACTTTTTTTGCATTTACTAACGTACACATACGTTACAGCCCTTCTGTGATCAACTGGGAACCCTTTACTTGGCTAATGGAGGATAAAAAATAACATTTATTTGACACAAACCAAAGTTTTGAGATATAGGATGAGGAAATGAGGTGTTTTTTTAAGGGTAGTTTCTTGGTTTGTGGTTTTGAAAGGCGGAAAAAAGAGTTCTCTCTGCTTTTTATTTCCACATACCAATAATATGAGGGTGTATCTTTGAACGAGGGAGTCAGAGTAAGTGAAGAATAATCAAAAAGGGGTGTTTCCTCCATTTGGAGAGGTAAAACGGGGGTAGGACAGGCACGGGGAACAGCGTTGTCTTGAGGGGACTAAGCATCGCAGGCAAACGTGAGAATTCTAATTTCAGACCGACGTCTTCGAAATTTTTTTTATTTCTCTCGTCCAACATCCAGCGTGTGACTGATAAAGACCTTTTGCTTGTTATCAGTCCCAGTCCCAGTCTTTCCACAGCCCCCGTCACCAACTGGGACCAGAATTAGAGTCTCAGACACATCCGGGGGGGCTTCCTCTGGACACGGATGTTGATTTTAATCTTCATTTAATAGGATTTTTTTTGGTTGATGGCGTAAAAAGTTAAGGAATAAATAACAAATGTGTGAGACTATGCAACTTTTGCCTCGCTCTGCCTGTGTGGCCATAACGACCCAGGACAGAAAAAAAAAAAAAAGAAAAGGACACATTTTGTTTTTTGTTTTTTTTCTGGATCCATCTTTTTAATATATTAGAGATTGATGAATATTTATTTATTACAGCTTTTCTGTTTAACTTAACCAGTTATGGTCAACAGTCAGTAACGGCGTATTTTTTATTTTTTTCAAAAGTTACATCGTCTCCGTTCTTTTTTTTTTGTACAGCCTAACTTTCTTTTTCCCCGCTGCATGCGTGTTTTCCTGTGGGCTCCTCTTCATCAGCCCGTCCCTGTATTTCAGGGACTCTGATGAAGGTTTCTGCTAATAAGCTCTGTTTAAAATCCCATTAGCCAGGCCCCTGATCCAGCGTTTCCGACTCCAGGGTGCAATAACTCTGGTTCCATCGCATCACGACCGAAACGCCCAAGTATTGTTAGAAAAAAAGGAGGCAAAGGCCGGCTTTTTTGCTGTTATAACCTCTCGTCATCCATTCCTTTGTGAGCAGGGGATGGATACCAACCAGAGGTACAGGACTGTCTCAGAAAATTAGAATATGGTGATAAAGTTCTTTATTTTCTGTAATGCAATCAAAAAAACACGAAATGTCATACATTCTGGATTCATTACAAATCAACTGAAATATCGCAAGCCTTTTGTTGTTTTAATATCGCTGATTATGGCTTACAGCTTAAGAAACCCAAATGTCATATCTCAAAATATTCGAATATTTCCTCAGACCAAGTTAAAAAAAAATAATTATAACAGCAAAACAAAATCAAACATTTGAAAATGTCCATTAATGCACTCAGTACTTGGTTGGGAATCCTTTTTGCACAGATTACTGCATCAATTTGCAATTTACATAAAATAAAGAACTTTATATTCTAATATTCTAATTTTCTGAGACAGTCCTGTAAAGCGCAAAAAAAGCCTCGTCCTCTCGCCGTCGTCTGTTTTGCATCTCTCTCCATTTTTTAGGTCCAGCAGATCAGTCTGACTGCCGCATTTCTCTGTCCTTATTCCCCCGACCCAAAGGCGTGTGTGGGTAATGTAACAACACGACGCAAATATATTGTATGTAATGACCACTGAAAAAAAAACACGACCTCCCACGGTCAGATTTGGGACATCCACAGTACGTCCGACCAAAACGAGCTCCAAACAGACTGAAAGGTAAAGTGAAATGAGCTGTTCAACATTAGACCCAATCAGTAAATACTTTTTGAGTTATTTGGGGTAAGATGTATGACTAGAATACCAAAGATTAAGAAAAAAAACGGATCATTACCAGTAACTGAACCTCACAGATGTTCTACCAGATGTTGATGGACTTAACTCAATCAGACTTGTGGAAAAAGGAGCTCTTATTCATTCATTTTCTCTAATATAAAACAGGTTTAAGAGATTATTTTGGCCTCTCTTTGTAGATTCTGAAGCCAATTAGTCTTTATGGTTAGATTTAAAACTTCAGAAGTTCCGTGAATAAAAGTCTATTTGCCCGCTGAGAAAATTTAAACCACTTTTTTTTTCTTTTTCCTGGAGAATTAATGTTAAATTTTCACAGATTTGACTTAATTCAAAGTGGTGAGGAGGCTGCATAATTAATGAGCCTTCACATAATCGTGCAGCCAACCAAAGAGGCCCGTGGCCAAAGTGGCCCACCACAAAATTATGCCTTTTCATTTGAACTGTAATCTTATGCATGTTACACAATAAAAAAGTAAGAAATAAGAGTAGAATAAAACCTGAACAGAAAATGTGACATCATTAGTCCACTCAGAGCTCAAACATTCATCTCACATGTTTTCAAAAGTTGAGAAGAACTTGAGAAGAACTTCAAGAGTAAATCTATGTAAAGTAAATTATGGAAATTCATCTGTTTAACCGTTTGTGGGCTGATATTTTCTTCTTATGGTGCTCTAAACTCTTGCATGTTCCCTTTAAATTGGACACAGAGGGAAAAAATGCAACCCTTTACATCAGTACTACCTCCCCACCTCAAACTTTTTTAGCATGGGATCTACTTTTGAAATGACCAAGTCAAAATGATCTACCCGTTATATTTATTGAGAAATACACTATATTGCCAAAAGTATTTGCTCACCTGCCTTGACTCACATATGAGCTTAAGTGACATCCCGTTCCTAATCCATAGGGTTCAATATGACGTCGGTCCACCCTTTGCAGCTAGAACAGCTTCAACTCTTCTGGGAAGGCTGTCCACAAGGTTTATGAGTGTGTTTATGGGAATTTTTGACCATTCTTCCAGAAGCGCATTTGTGAGGTCGCACACTGATGTTGGACGAGAAGGCCTGGCTCTCAGTCTCCGCTCTAATTCATCCCAAAGGTGTTCTATCGGGTTGAGGTCAGGACTCTGTGCAGGCCAGTCAAGTTCATCCACACCAGACTCTGTCATCCATGTCTTTATGGACCTTGCTTTGTGCACTGGTGCACAGTCATGTTGGAAGAGGAAGGGGCCAGCTCCAAACTGTTCCCACAAAGTTGGGAGCATGGAATTGTCCAAAATGTCTTGGTATGCTGAAGCATTCAGAGTTCCTTTCACTGGAACTAAGGGGCCAAGCCCAGCTCCTGAAAAACAACCCCACACCATAATCCCCCCTCCACCAAACTTTACACTTGGCACAATGCAGTCAGACAAGTACCGTTCTCCTGGCAACCGCCAAACCCAGACCCGTCCATCAGATTGCCAGATGGAGAAGCGCGATTCGTCACTCCAGAGAACGCGTCTCCACTGCTCTAGAGTCCAGTGGCGGCGTGCTTTACACCACCGCATCCGACGCTTTGCATTGCACTTGGTGATGTATGGCTTGGATGCAGCTGCTCGACCATGGAAACCCATTCCATGAAGCTCTCTGCGCACTGTTCTTGAGCTAATCTGAAGGCCACATGAAGTTTGGAGGTCTGTAGTGATTGACTCTGCAGAAAGTTGGCGACCTCTTCGCACTATGCGCGTCAGCATCCGCTGACCCCGCTCCGTCAGTTTACGTGGCCTACCACTTCGTGGCTGAGTTGCTGTCGTTCCCAAACACTTCCATTTTCTTATAATACAGCTGACAGTTGACTGTGGAATATTTAGGAGCGAGGAAATTTCACGACTGGATTTGTTGCACAGGTGGCATCCTATCACAGTTCCACGCTGGAATTCACTGAGCTCCTGAGAGCGACCCATTCTTTCACAAATGTTTGTAAAAAACAGTCTGCATGCCTAGGTGCTTGAATTTATACACCTGTGGCCATGGAAGTGATTGGAACACCTGATTCCGATAATTTGGATGGGTGAGCAAATACTTTTGGCAATATAGTGTATATTGAGGATTCTTACAACCCATTCCGTACGAAAGTGATATGAAAGTTTTTTTCTTCTTACTTGGTCCAGCTCCCCCACTCATTTTCATTACCTATCTTACGTTTAAGAGGGAAAAAAACGAGCGAAAAATTAGGATGTAACTAACGGCTAGCTTGTTAGCTTTGCTAATTGACCCAATTGTACGGAAAAAAATCAGATGTCATCTGACTGGTTGTCAAGTCAAGTCAAGTCAAACTTTATTTATATAGCACATTTAAAATAACCAAGGTTGCCAAAGTGCTGTACATAAAAAGCATGTATATGTGATTTGAATGTAAAAATAAACAAATAAATAAATAGATAAATAAGATAAATAAAAAAGGTAAAAAGGTGCTCTACCTCAACCTAAGGTTAAAATGCTAAAAGCCATGTCAAATAAATGGGTTTTTAAACAGGACTTAAACTCCTGTGTATCAATCAAGTGACGGGACGGCTGATAGGCTGACGTTTAGTTTTTATTAAAAATACTCAACTTTGTTTGTATAGCGTCAGTTCATGACAATGTCACGAACCTTGGAGATCAACTGATAGATCGCGATCGACGTATTGAGCACCCCTGATCTAGCTAATAACTAGCTAATCTAGCTAATAACTAGCTAATCTAGCTAATATCTAGCATCTTTTGCATGGAGATGTCATCTTTTTTCTTCTAATACAGAGACTCATCTGGGCTCAGGACCTGTGTCTGCAGTCTTTCTGTAGTTTCCTGCTGTTTCCTCGGAGCATGACTCAGTTTCAGGTCGCATTTCTTTTACAGAGCGATAAATTGTGTGAACAGTCAGAGTGGTTTTTTTGCTGGTACTTCTCAGCTCGGATGGTTATGTTGATGGTAGCATGATGGTTTTTCAAACTAAAGGTCACACACATCCCACCTTTGGCCTCCATGATCTGAGATTTCCTCAGACTCCCTGAATATTCTCACAGTATTTAGATAGACACTTAAGATCTCTTTAGTCCAAATATATATATATATATTTGCAGTGTTCAATGATTTTTCTACTAAATTTGGTATAGTAGTGGTATACATGGTGAATATCTCCGCAAAAACACTTATAACAAAAGTTATAAAACGTAATATTATGATGTTGCATGTCTTCTTGTGACCCGACAAGGAATAAGTGGCATGATAAACGAATGGATGGATAGTTTTATATTTTCTATATGTGTTTTTCTGGATGGACCCAGTGGTTTGAGTTTATCATGCTTTTTGTGTGTCCTGTTTATATATAGGTAATTAGCATTGAATATAAGCCTTTTTTTTTATTAGATGTCTGTAGTCAGCTTTTTCTAACCCTGAACCTGATTAATATTAATTACTAAAGGTCCATGGTCACCACCTGGTGGTCAGCAGGTTGTTACAGGTCACCCAGGGCAGCTTTATTCAAAAGAAAATCTAAAAGACAGCTAAAAGATGAGCAGCAGCGTTTTACACATGCTGGATTAAAATAAAGAAATAAAAAACTGTGGCTCTGAAAAGGAAGAAAAGTTACCAAACCACCAGGAATGAACATCAGCAACATGTTTTTTATTGTGTAGAATGTGGCACATCCCTTTAAAAGGGATTAAATTGGCCCAAAAAGCTCATTTAGATAATTTCCCTCTGGGATTATTAAATTATTTCTGATATTAGTGTGAATGCGTCACAAATACAACATACTTCATGTTCCAGACAATGTGAGGTAATCCACTTCATGTTAAAGCTCTTTAACCCTTTAAAGCCCGATCCAAGAATAAAACAAAACAGAAAATTCCTTTTTTTTTGTTGTTTGAATTCCTTATTTGGCCTTTTAACAAAATATGTAAAAATAAAAACAAAAATAATTTTTCTATATTATTAATTTATTACTATGCGATAAGTCAAGATTATTTTTTGTGTAGTCTTCTGCCCCCTGTTATCAGGTGTATCTGATTGTGTACAATAGGATTTAGAGCAAAGTTTTTACCATTAAATTATGCAAAAGGTGTCAGACGCAAAACATTTCAGAAACCGTATGAATTAAATATGATACATTTGGCATTATAGGGTTAAATAAAGCAGATTTAGTTTAGATTGTGTATAAGAAGGTTACAAGGAAGTGTCAGTAGGCCGTAATGGTAACTCCTGATTTTCCTCCTCCCTGTGTGATTGTTGGTGTTGGTATAGTTTTCTTTGAGTATAGTTTTCTCATCCCTTTCCTTTCCTGGAGCTCTGTCTGGAGCTCTTCTTTACCGGGACGTGTACTTGGCATGCAAAAACACAGTGGTGAATACAATATATTTGATGGTGTTATGTTACACACACTGATCCTTCTTATGAACCAAAAAAAAAAAAAAAAGACTAGAAATCTAGCAGTCACGGAAAAGGAGCTTGATGTGTTACAAAACAAGCCTCTCAGTTCCCCATAAAGCCAAATAATCTGTCTGTTATGTAGAAGTGCAGAGCAACAGACAAACAACCAATAAACACCAAAAAAACTGGTCAAAAGAAAGGCAAAAAAGGAGAAAAAACTCAAGTTAAGGCACGATCTGTGACCTGAAGTCCGCTCTTAACCCTTTAAAGCCCGATCCAAGAAGAAAACAAAACAGAAACTTACTTTTTTTTTAGTTTTAAGTCTATATTTGGCCTTTTAACAAAATATGTAAAAAGAAAAAACAGAAATACATTTTTGATATTAATAATTTATTACTATGGGATCATTTTTGTGTAGTCTTCTGCCCCCTGTTATTAGGTATATCTGATTTTTGTACAATAGGATTTCGAGAAAAGTTTTTACCAGTAAATTATGCAAAAGGTGTCAGATACAAAACATTTCAGAAACCGTACGTATCAGATATTTTACATTTGGCCTTACAGGGTTAAATGGGTGAAGGAAACGATTGTCCGGCTGTGTTTGTCTGTTAGTCTGGAAAGGGTTCCTGTTAGATCCACTTTGCTAAACGTCCAAACGGCTGCCCAGGGCCCAAGAAAAAGCACAAAAAAAAAAAATCCTTAAGCAATCACCGCCTCTGTTTTTTTAATCCATTCTCTTAAGATCCATGCAGCAGCTGCTTTCTCCTCAGATCTATTTCCTGTGATCAGTGTGTGCCGATTACTCAAAGCGATACAGGTGGGGTCTGGCCTGGTAGGGCTCTCATGGACCGCATTTTACTCTCTATACTCTGTAGTGTTGCTTGCTATCTGTGATATGTTGGCCAGCACCCGACTCTATCGCTTTGTACAGTATAAAGTAGTTTTTCTTTTTAAAAAGAAGTTGAATAACATAAAATAACATAATATAATGTTATTTATGTTATTTCCCACGTGAAGAACTCCTGTAAACCTTGCAGTATTGAAACTCAGTGAACAAGGCATCTTAGACAAGCTGAAAAACAAATGGTGGTACGATAAGGGTGAATGTGGAACCAAGGACTCTGGAAGTAAGGTCAGTCGCTGCAGGTCTTCTTATACTGATGGAAAAATGCATTTTGACTTAACTGTTCATATGCAAACATCTAAATAACACCACATCCTACATCCAAACATTCTTTTTTTTTTATTGCTGCTTGACTATAGAACAACACGTTGGAAAAGTAGACCTTTACCTTTACACATAGTTAAAGAGTATTCACACAATTCAGAACACAATTAAATATACATTAATACACATTTTTTAATAAAACAGCATGATTACAGACAATTTATCATCATGCCATTCAATTTTGAAAAGTCTAATCATGGAATTGAAACCATTATACTGCTATTTTTTTACCCAAACCTCTATTGAAATTTAGTTTATTGTTGGTCTTATTCATTTGTATGTGAAATGGTCGTACAACCCCTTTTTGTTTTTACCAAACAACTTGGGACGCCGTGTAAAACGCGGAATAAAAACACAACTCAGTGAGTTACAAAGATTTAAATTAAATCACACAGTAGACGTCTGGTTTGAAACAATGGTAAAATGTCCAATGTTAAAATTGGGAAACGGTCATCCTGATGAAAAATAGGCCAATTTTGAATTTGAATGGACTCAGTTTGTTTAGACAAAGCAAAGCGCTTCATTTCTTTAGAAATCAATGCCACATTTCCCCTTTTGAATACAGGTTTAGCTTAATCTGGCATCTGTTTTTATGGGGTATGGACCACAGGAAGCCGGTTTAGCCTCTTTACTCTATTACTTGTAACACATGTAGAATGTGTCTTTGCATTGTCTTGCTTAATTAAACAACGTCTTGCTTGTTTAAGAAAATTTGACTCCTAAATTGTTGAAAATCCCTCCTCATCTTGACCTTTGATACCAGTTTTAAACGTATCAAGTTCCTCAATTTCAACATTTCACATGGTTTGACTCTACTTAGCTGCCACGTTCAGGTTTTATTGTTTTAAAATCACTGAATTTTGTATTTTACATTTCATTCAGCGGGCCTACTTTTCTGGACTTTATTTCTTAAAAGACATCTTTCATCTGGCAGATCCACACTGGCCTTTAAATACCGTTTGAGTGGGTCAAATGGCATTTAATAGTCATACGTTACAGATGGATATGTCAGAGTAAAGAACTTTCTTTATTTTTTTTAACATTTCTAATCGATGTAAAACAAGTTTGCATGTCAGAAAACAGAATCAGCTGGTTTTGAAACAACGAAACGTCTCGCTGGGGTTTTGACGCAAATGGTAAAACTCACATAAATGAATTTCAATATTTCCCGTTTGGCCTTCGATAGCAGCAAAATGGTTCAGTTCGACCACTTTGATTGTGTAGTTGGAGTGTTTTTTGAGAGCTTAAGTTCAGCCGTTAGACCAACCGAGGCTTTAATTCGTAGACCTGTACGACCACGACCGCCTTCCTCTATACGTGCGTTCTCGTAAAGAGACCATAAAGCCATAAATCTGGATAGTTAGCATCTCTCTCTACATTCACCTTCCCAGCTCTTTGTAGAAAAAAAAACTATTCTGAGGAGGAGTGAAACACATTGGCTTGATTCTGGTAAATTACGCCGAATTATAAAGCTATATCTTTGAGGATTTACACAGGACACATTTAGGAGCCTCCTCTTTGTAGCTGTTAGCATAGCTGTTAGCATAGCTGTTAGCATAGCGTAGCAGGGCCTACACCTAGGTTTTTTTGTGTTTGTGTTATTTTTCTGTGGAGCTAGCTTCAAGTGCCCGGGTGAAAAAGCCTTAACGGTGGTCTCTACCCCCCCCAGGACAAGACAAGTGCTCTGAGCCTGAGCAACGTGGCGGGAGTCTTCTATATTCTGGTCGGGGGGCTGGGTCTGGCTATGACCGTGGCTCTCATAGAGTTCTGCTACAAGTCACGGCAGGAAACCAAAAGGCTGAAGCTGGCCAAGAACGCCCAGAACTTTAAGCCAGCCCCTCCGGCCAATGCCCAGAATTACGCCACGTACCGCGAAGGCTACAACGTGTACGGGACAGAGAGTGTTAAGATCTAGAGGGTACGTCTCTACGAACCTTACATCCTTTTTTTCAATTTTAATTCAACTTTTAAACACATAAAAAAGTCCACATAGTTTGTTACATTGTCCTATTGTACATAGTTTCCCTATACACCACATTGATATCCCCAACAGAAAATATGGTCCATAAATGGAAATATAACGGAAATATAATAATGCATTGTAAATCTCTTATAAGTATATTACCATAGTATGTTACATTGTCCTATTGTACATAGTTTCCCTATGTGTCAACTCTACATCTTCAACAGAAAATATGGTCCATAAATGGAAATATAACGGAAATATAATAATGCATTGTAAATCTCTTATAAGTATATTACCATAGTATGTTACATTGTCCTATTGTACATAGTTTCCCTATACGCCACCTTGATATCCCCAACAGAAAATATGGTCCATAAATGGAAATATAACGGAAATATAACCTTAGTATTGTAAATCTCTAATAAGTATATTACCTTCGTATGTTACAATGTCCTATTGTACATAGTTTCCCTATACGCCAGCTTGAGAAAATACGGTCCATAAAATAGCAGTAATAATAAATGGAAACAGAAATATAACGGGAATATAACCTTATGTCCCTTTTATGTGGACCCAGAAACCATCTTTTATCATTTGTTTCTCATCATTCAGACTTTCCATCTTACTCTCATAAGAGACTGCTTCAATTACGGCATTGACCCAGTCTTTTAATTCCAAAGTTTTTACACATTTCCAATTTCGTTAGAATAATTCTTAACCTCGTGATACAGCAGAGTTTTAATTCAATTCAATTCAATTCAATTTTATTTATATAGCGCCACATCACAACAACAGTTGTCTCACAGCGCTTTCCAAACAGAGCAGGTCAGACCCTACTCTGAAGTTAATTACAGAAACCCAACAATTCCCACCATGAGCAAGCACTAGGCGACACAGGCAAGGAAAAACTTCAAGTGAGCAAAGTCTAATATTTTAAGGATTTTCCCCCAAAATGGGGGAACATAAGAACATTTCCAGAGTTTATGGAGATATGTTAGGGTTAAAGTTAGGTTTATGGTAATGGTTGGTTTTAGGATTATGGTCAGGTTTAGGGTTAAATTCAGGGTCAGGATTATGGTTAGGGTTATGGTTAGAGTTAGGTTTATGGTAATGGTTAGGATTAGGGTTAGGGTCAGGTTAGGTTTAGGGTCATGGTTAGGGTTAGGACATCGTTTATCTTCCGACTTCATTTAGACAGCAAAGTCTCGTTTCCACCTCAGAAAGCTGCTAGTCACATGCCCTAATCAAAATGGCCGACTTGGACGTGGGCGGCGGAGTCGGACATCCATCCTAAGCTCCTACAGACTTCACCCAGAGGCTGCTCTCTATTTCGGGCAGCCGGCTGACCTTTGACCCCCTCTGACGACGACTGTTTCCATCTCCCAGCTCCTTTATCCGGAACATGTTCTGTTTTTTTTCAGAGGGTTAGGGTTATGATTAGGTTTAGGGTTAGGGTTAGGATTAGGTTTAGGGTCAGGATTAGGATCAGGATCAGGGTTAGGGTCAGGATTAGGATCAGGATCAGGGTTAGGTTTAGGGTCAGGGTTAGGGTTAGGACATAATTTATCTTCCGATTTCGTATAGACAGTAAAGTTTCCTTTCTACCTCGGAAAGCTGCTAGTCACATGACCTAATCAAAATGGCCGACTTGGACGTGGGCGGGCTCGGACCTCCAGCCGAGGCTCCTGCAGAGGCTCTCTCTATTTCGGGGAGCCTGATGACCTTTGACCCCCTCTGACGTCAACCATCTCCCAGCTCTCTTATCCAGATTTTTTATATTATATTCTGTTTTTTTTCAGAGGCGAAACGCTGAACCCACCGGTGCGTCCGGACGGAAACAGCCACTCTGTGTGACCCCACAAACCCCCCGAGGCCGGCACCCCGGAGGAAAAATGGCTCCCACGTCCTCCACCGACCCGGAAACAAGCGCACACGTGCCCGTTTAGGGTCACGAGCTCGCCACACTAACAGAGGGCAGCCGGGGTTTGGCTTCCGGAAAACACGGGATTTGCCTCTTGTAGTGCCTTATGGAGCATTTCAGCATCATGGCAATGCAATTTAAATTAAAAAAACAAGCTAACTAAAATGTGTGGAACTCGGGGAAGACACTGCTTAGAACAAACTGTAATTGCTGTTTTCTATTTTGAAGTAAAAAGAAGAAGAAGAAGAAGAAGAAGAAAAAAAAAAGCCATGATCCGCAAAACCCCGAAAAACCTACCAAGTCATTTGAATCCTTTAAAGACATATTTTTGTGGTGAAAAACTTAAGTTGGATTAATGTTATATTTAGTGAGGTAAAACCATTTTTCTTGTTTTTACTATAAGACTATTTTCAGTGTGAGGATATTTAGTCGTTACGGTTAAGCATCAATTAAACCGACACCCCGGTTTTTTTCTCAGAGAAACCCAACAAATATGAATCTCGTGGTTATCTGGAACAGCCTGGGTGATGTTATTTTTCATAGCCTGCTGGCCATTATATACAACTTGACTGTATTTACTAAATGTTTCTGATTTCTTTTTCGATCGACCATGTGATTTGCTTTACTGCCACTCTTTAAAAAAGATCACAATTTTTACGGAAAGGGATCTGCTTTTTATCACTTTAGTGCCATATTGTTGAAATAAAAAGGAAATTCTCTAGAAACTAGGTCAGCCACCTCATTTTACCTGATATTAAAGCGGTTTAACGGAGCTCGTAGTTTACACTTTGTACACACTTATACGCCGTTCTCATTTTTAAGTGATCTGGGCCAGTGACACCACGCCATGGCTTCTTTGGTTGTGATAAGCTTTCTGTGTCTATGCATTTTTCCGGGAGGCGAGCTGTACATTGAGGTGACGAACGAAACATTTATCTGTTTGTACAATTAAAAGCTTTTTATAATACGAAGAGAGTTAGAAAAAAAGAAAATAAACCCTACAAACGCTACAGACCGCCTACGTTCGCTTAGTATTTTCAGACTCTCTCGTCCTTTTTTTTTCTCCCCCACTTAAAATGCATGTGAATTTGGTGATAGTTTTTACCCCGACGGCTAAAAGGAAGCCCTCGTTTAACGCAATCTGATCCACTTTGGTTTTTAGTTTTACTGTAACGGTACCTCAACCATGAGAGTTGCATGTATGGACAAAATAAACCTCTGTGGAGAGGTCGTGTACAAAGGATTTTATTACATTTCCTTAATAAAAGCTGTTTTATATTAAGCTGTTTTTTTCCTCTTTGTGCAAATCTGAGCATTTAATCCATTTCTACTATTAAAAAATAAATAAATTAGCCATGTAAAAACTATTATCTTTATATTTTTTACTTTATTATCAGCAGATAACCTTCATGCAAATGAAAAAAAAATCAAGAAAGAAGTGGAGACCATATCAAAGTGACACACTAGGAAAACTATTATTTATTGGCTTGTTTTTCTTTCTTTTTTTTTTTGTTTCTTAAAAAAAGCTTACACTCATTGAGTACAGCAGATAAAATCTCCAAAGGTCATTTTCAAAACAGTTGTATTTGGAGTACAGAGCATCAGAACCTCTTTAAGCCTTTTTTTTTTTTCTCTTTACAATTCTACATTTGAATTGAGATTGAACTGACATTTATAAATTATGTAAAAACCTGATCAACACAAGGAGAGAAAAAAAAATACACAGAAGAACTGTATGGGACATCCAAAAAAGAGAAAAAGAAAAAAAAAATTAACATGATGTAAATTTCATGTTACCCTCTTTAATATTGTACAGAATATACAAACTGGTCCTTTGTAATCGTTTTCTGGTTTAAGCCGACTGTTTTTACGCGGATTAAAAGGAGGAAAAATAAAAAATAACTACGCGTCTCAAAAGGATATGAGGTAAGTGGGTATGGAAAGCTTGTTAACTCCAAAAAAAAAAACGAGCGACAAAACAAAGACCTGGTAAAGTTACAAAAAAAAAGAAGAAAAAAATGAACATTTTCAAGCATTACAATGAGTGAATCCATGACCAGATGCTGGGAGATCATTTCATACAGTAACCACATCTCTAAAGAAAGAATAACACTGTGATTACGCCAGCACGTTGTGCTCATACTGAATAATAATAATAATAATAATAATGATGAAGAAAAACTGTTTACTGCCTGAAAGGAGAAAAAAAAAAAAAAAAAAAAAAATACTTGACTACAGCTATAAACATTTTGCACTGGGAGCTTACAAAAAAAAATGGAAAAAAAAGACCCAAAACATTACGAGAGTCAACAACGGAGCTGAGATGGAGTTGCCGGGGCCTCGCAGATAAAAGCTTCTTTAGTTCTGCTGCGTAAACGGGGTCACACAGAGAAGACGTCAGACACTCGGGTTGGTTTTTTTAAGTTGAGAAAAACAAAAAAAAAAGGAAAAAACAGAGTGAAGAAAGCTGAAACGGTTCTTACCTTCACTGACTAGCGCACATTATCTGTGCTTGTCGGAAGATTTATGAGTGGGATCGTTAAGGGAAAACGGTCAATTAATCCACCGCTAAACGGCTAAAACACCTGACCTAAGAGCCGTTTGGGCTCTGAGAAGCTTCTAAAGACTTAGAAACATCCAAAATAAACAAACAAACCGATCTTTTATTTCATTTACATGAGCGTACAAGAGCAATAATTAAGGTAAAGGAAGAAAACGGCTGGTTTAAAATCAGACAAGTCGGGTTGTTTATGGGATGAGAAGAGCAAAGCGGGTTTTCTAACAGATCCTGTTGGCCGATAGACACACCGTAGATAAAAATGGAGGAAGGTTTCTTACAATGGGGATAAAAAAAACCCAACACACACACTGGAGGATCCACAAATGTTCAGATTTCCTGTCAGAAAACCAGCGGTGGTGACCCAAAAGGTGGAAAGCAGGAAAGCGCCGCTACGAAAAGAGCCGAGAACGAAAAAAAGAAAGAAAAAAACAGGGTGTGGGGTGGGTTTCTAACTCCAGAGCTGGACATATTAAAACTAAACAGTAATAAGCAGAGAGCCTGACTTCACTGTCGCTCTACACTGAAGGATATTGCTTTTTCTCTTCTTTCCCCCCACTGCTCTCCCTCTTCTCCCTCTTTTCAGACTTGTCTTTATCGTGTCTGGACTCCTGCGGCACCAGAAGACAAGGGAGGTTAAGAAGTTAAAAAGAAAAAAATAGAAACCAAAACAGGGCTAGCTCAGAGAGCCGGTATTTTTTTGGTTTTCGGGCTCATTTACGGACCTTTTTCCCTCCGGAGGACGTGCGCTCGGGCTTGGCCGAGTCGGCCTTCTCTTTGTTGGAGGACTTGCACCGTTTGCTCTTCTCCTTCTCGCCCAGCACCGGAGAGTCGCAGGACGGGCTCGAGCTCTTGCTGTTTTTGAAGACTGGAAAGAGAAGAGAAGAGGGAGGCGTGTTTACTGGTTTTATTAACTCATTGGCTGCCAAAGACGTCTATAGACGTCTTTTATGTTTTTCAGCGAGAGTGGCTGGGGGACGATCTGCTAAAGCTTGTCCGTAAATATCAGGCTTCTAGACAGAGTATGTAGTAACAAATTGACCCTCTAGGGGGCAGTGTCACTTTTGATGGGAGATGAGCATAGACTGTAGGCAAATAAGAAAAGCTAACGGTTCGCTATGAGAGAACATGTCACCGGTGAGACGCAAGTCCAGGAAGAACGGAATAAGGTAGAAACAAATTTTTTTTTCCTGATGAAAGAAGGGAGTCTACTCTTTCTTTTGGTGTGTTCTGTGTTTACATAGTCATAGCACAAACTATTCTGTGGCTCTTGAAAAATCAGTCAAAATGCTAAAAAAACTCTGGCAGTATGGGACTCTGTTCTGAAAATGGCTGCCAGTCAATGAGTTAAATGTGAAGGCGTCTCACTGGTGCCGTTCTCGTCCTTCCGGCGCTTCAGCTCCTGGCTCAGGTCGTGGTCGTTGATGATGTAGTCCTAACAGAGAACACAGAAAAAAATCCAAAAATATTTACTTTATCCTTTATTTCTACTTGTACACACGCTAACTCATTGATCATGTAGTCCTAACAGAAGAATCGCCATTCGTTAAAAATCTCCAAAAATACTTGCGTCATCCTTTATTTCTACTTATACACACACTAACTGGAAAATAATAATAAGAAAAACTTACAGTGGGGGGAAATAAGTATTTGACCCCTTGCTGATTTTGCAGGTTTGCCCACTTACAAAGAATGCAACGATCTATAACTTTAATCATATGTACATTCTAACAGTGAAAGACAGAATCCCAAAGAAAATTCCAGAAAATCACATCATATGAATTTATACAAATTGATAACCATCTGATGAGGAAAAATAAGCATTCTTTGTAAGTGGGCAAACCTGCAAAATCAGCAAGGGGTCAAATACTTATTTCTCCCACTGTAGATAACCAGCGAATGTAAAGTGTAACCAGGGCGTTGGACTCACTCTTTTCCTTTCTTTTCGTTCCTTTTCTTCCTTCTTCTCTTTCGATCTGCCCTGTGTGTTCTCTGCCTCTTTCTTCTCCATTTCCCTCTCTCTGCTCTTGGACCGGGCAATTGAATTAAAGTTGATGTGGTACTGAAAACAATTAAAAAGACGAGCAGAACAGAACAGACAGACGGGTTTAGAGGAGGCGTGCTTCGGTCTGTGAGCGGAGGATGTGAGGGAATAAGAGCAGTAAAGATCTAAAAAAAGGCCTCTCTAGCTAGTATTTCTGAACTGGTCACAGCACAAGCCCTCAATAAACTGATTTAAACGGAAAAAAATGGCGCCTTTTAACAAAAACAACATGAAAAAGAGACATAACTAAGTCACATTTAAATAAAGCTACTCAGGGCAAACCTACACGTTTCCCCTCATTAAGTCATGACAGAAGAAAAGCAGAGTTTCCAGATTGGGGGCCAGGGGAGGGGAGGGGGGGGGGGTGGGGGGGGGGGGGACAGATGGAACCAGCCTTACATAAGCCTTTGACACCTTCGGGACCTTTGCTACCAACGTGTGTGACGTCATTATGACACCAGACAGCCGGCGGCCCTTAGGATGCAAAATCTCTAAACTTTACAAATGATGACAATTCAGATATTTGAAATAACAAAATAAATACATTAATTTATTGATAATAAAATCAATTCACTGCTAAGAAAATCTCCCAAACGTCCAGGACTTTGAAAGAAGTCTAGGAATCCCAAAACTAAAGGTGTTTTACTTTCTTTTCCTCTTAATTTTGGATCAAAATTATGTTCCAACAAGGGAGCAAAGACGATCAGATAATAGATTTTTTTCTTTAAAAGAGGAGCAACATGCTTAATAATCTATGATCTTGCAGTTTTGGCCCCTGTGGTCCATTTGAGACCATGAGAGGGGGGACGGGATGTGGTCTAACGTGTTTAATGTGTAATTTTGTTCTACAAATATAACCAGAATGAGCTGGTAGTCCTGGCGTTTATCATCATTCGCCCCGTGGAGCCGTTAGTGAGTCCTGTGGATGTTTACTCTGCAACAAACCACCCACCCGGACACCGTGGGAGACCAAGCCTCCTCCTCTCTGTCTAACGTTTGCTAGCAGCCTGACTCAACTCTCCTCTTCTTCCTTTTCCAGCGACTGGGTCGCTGTGCGCGGTGGTCGTCACACAGGAGAAAACAAACACAACAAACAGCCTAAAACAAGACAGTCAGGTTACAGATGCCGTAACGGGGGTTCCTCCACGTGTCCCTGGAGCCTTTGGAGGAGATGGGAGGATCTTATGTTTTGCAGATGCTGCTCTTCTGCTGTTAGCTGGTGGTTATTTCCCCCCCAGTGGACGAGTCTCTGACCAATCAGCGGTCAGCATCGTCTGCCTAGCCTTTGGGTGCCGCTTATTTTCTAATTCCATAGTTAAATCATTTCCCTTTAGGATTATTAAAGTATTTCTGATACTAACTGATCAATCCTCTCTTCACACATTCATTACATGACATTTGCAGTGGTGCTTCAAATCCCTCAAATCGACCTAATTACATTTAATGTCCCCGTTTAGCCTGAAAAGGTGGTAGTTATTAAAAATGAGAAGCAGAAAATAGTCTGTTTGAGCCGCGACATGAGATGAAAACGGCTCTGTTACTTAGCCTCTACTTGGACCACATCTGGACACAATGACCTGCACACTGGTCAAGATACAAATTAAATTAAAGGCAGATTTTTGGATTTTTTAAAATTCACGTTCGAATTAAGGTTCAGAATTGTTGTGATCATCTCTTATCAAATGTAATATGTTATTGCGGGAGGAGAAAGCATAAAGCTACACAGATATTAAATCTGTTTTAGATCCTTCAAATAAAGACGCCTTTGAAGGAGAAGCTTGAACAAAGACGCACAGCTGAGGAGCCTCTGGCTCATTTACACCTTTCAGACACGCACTGTTCCCCATTAAGACGACGGCAGCTGAAAGAATTAGCATTCATCTCAGGACGCTCGCTCTGGTGCTTAGCCTTAATAAGTCAGAGGTGATCTTTTGACTACTAACATCAAGCTGTATTTTAAAAAAATTGGACCCAAGGAAACCAGCGTAGGCGTTCACTACATGATTACAAACATCTGGATTCATCTTTACTGTTCGTTTTTACTAAACGGACGTTAGTATTTCTGACGTTTTTCTGATCAAGCTAACGTGATTGGAAAACGTGTTTAAAGAAATGCACATTATCGTGTGTTTTTTTTGTGTGTGTGTTTAAACGAGCTCTTCATTCTGACGTGTCAAGAAACAGAAGTCAGGGTATAAAACAGTGAGTAGCAGAGCGGGGTCAAACCTTGGATGTGGACTCCTTGGGTTCGTTGCTATTGTCCTGTAGGGATGAATGGAGATGACAGATGAGCTGGGAGGGGGTGGGGGTTTGGGAGGAGGTTGTCAGACAGCAGTAGAGAGTCGGAAGAAGTGTGTTGGGGGGGAGAGGGGGGGGGGGGCCGAGGCTGGCCGGACCCACAGCATCCGTCTCCCTTTGACCTACGAGCTTCAAGGGACTGAGGCTTTGACAAGGTTATCACAGAGAGGAGAGTTCACAGGCTCAACATCTGGAATGTGAAAACTTCTATTAGAAAATAGAAAAGAACCCTGAGCATGTCTGTAAAAACTACTTTTATGACTATGCAGTGTGAGGCAGCATAAAGCGAAGCCCTAACATGGTGCTGGTATCTTAATTTAATACCTCTAAAGTGCAAGTGCTTTAAATAGTAAATAGTATATGTGGATCTGTGTGTGTGTGTGTGTGTTCCTGTGTGTTTTATTAGACAAAATCCCTCAACTCTTGTGTGCTTTACTGCATCCCTACAAAGGTAACAGTTGCTGTCACTTACAGTTCGGGAATGGATAAGACACATGGAGCCTATTTTCTCTGGTGGAAGGGGAAAATAAAGCCCTATCACAAGCTTCCAGCGGTTTGGCCGGCAGCTCTCCCGATGACTCAGGCTTCGCCCACTCTCTCTCCCTCTCACTCTCTCTCTCTTTGAAGAGGCATTCTCT